CCAATGAAATGTTTCCTTTTATAAGTTTCCTTGATCACGATGTCTCTTCATAGCCATAGAACAGTAACTAAGACAGAGGATTTGGGGCAAGGTGGGGTGAGTGTTGCTGGCATAAGGGGAAGGCTGCCAGGTGGAGATTAAAACAGCCATTGAGCTTACAAGATAAAAAAAAAAAAAAAAAAACAACTCTTGCCTGTTAAATGAGGGTACACTTGCCTCGTAAGTTGGTTTTTGCTTCAGATAAGGCTTTGCTTCAGATAGTCGCTCACAAGGAACCAGCCCACATCCTTGGTCAATCTGACTTACCTTTTCTTAGGTAACATAGAGCAAGTTTTGCTCAATGCAATATCAGTCTCCACAGAGAGGTGTTTTGTCTGCTATGTATGAAGAAGTATGTTGTCATACAGCCTGCTCTAGGGTGCTGCTCTCACACGCGAATCAGTCTTTACTGCATGTGTGTGTGTGAGTTCTCCCAGGTCTGAGAGACAATAACTTCACTGAAGCCACTCTTGTGTGGCACTTTACTGTCCAATCAAGCTCAAGGCATTGACAGGTCTGGCTCCCACGGAAGGCTCTGAGGGAGACCATTCCAAGCATCTCCTAGCTTCCCGGCTATGGCTGCCATGCTCAGCTTTCAAGTATATCGGTCTCATCTCTGCCTTCATCACCATCTGGGTCTTTCCAACTCCCCTCTTCCTAGAAGAACCCCAGTCACGCCGGATCAGAACCTTCCACCCCACTGTGGCCACATCTCAGCCAGCCACATCTGCCACACGCTGTTCACAATGCAGCCACATCTGCCACACGCTGTTCACAGTGCAGCTATACTTTGAACTACTTGGGTTGGAAGCTCAGCAAATGAATTTGGGAGGGACTCGGTTCAGCCTATGAGAGGAGGTTGCTGGTGAAGATGCCCTTGGGGAAACGGTGGAGACTGAAGATGGAAGGAAGTTCAGCAGGGTTGTGCAGGCTTCCTTTCCCAGAGACATCTCAGATCCTAGGTCACAGGTGTGTACACACGGGCACACTCCTCCATGAGTGTAAACAATTCTAAGTATGACCTGCTTAACAAAACTAACTGAACCATGCCATTCCTCAGAGTGTGTTAAAATATTTTTCTGTCCATGTACCATCATTCTGTCAAAAGCCCCAGGCCCAACGTTAACAGGCATAGGTTTGAATCCAGAGGAGCAGATGTTATGAGTTATGAACATGTGGGGAACCCTCAGCTGGCCAGGCCAGGGTATCCCATGCATGAGGGAAAACTTGCTGGCATGCTGGGCAGATGTGCGCCATGTGGGCATAGTGGCGGTAATTAACAACCCAGATACTGCATCCACGTGGAGAGTTTATTATAATAGAGAGATGAAGAGAAAGATAGGAAAGAGAGGGAGAGGAGAGAAAGAGAGGGAAGCAGAGACAGAGAGGTCAAGGGGTGAACACCTCATGAAGGAAAAGGCAGAAGAGAGAGAGAGAGAGAGAGAGAGAGACAGACAGACAGACAGACAGACAGAAAGGGGAGGAGTTTTTCCTTAAAAAGAGGTTTTTATGTCAGGATTCAGGGCAGAGCCAGGACGTGGGATTTCCAGGGGGGGATCAGAATATTAACATTCCTCCATTTTGATTATGATAAAAAGAGGTGAGTTATGGGAGCAAGTGGGGGAACAAGGGCCCTGAATTCTGGAGGCTACTTCAAGCCGACAAGGGGCGAAGTGGGGCGGGGGAACTGGTAGCCACACAGGGCAGAAGATCTCAGGAACGTTCCTTGAGGGAGCTGAGGAGGCAGGTTGCAGCAGTGGTGTTCCAGGAGCCTGGGGGGAAATGGCACACCAA